ATGAGCAGAGCAGACTTGCAGTCCGGCGTCCTCCATTTTTCAGCAGACCACTGATGAATCCCACAGTAGATTAGAGAAGCTATTTCTTGCCTACTGCACAGTGTCGAGTGTGCATTACATTTTGTATGACTAGCAGTTACCATTAGCAAAGACTGCTTTCTTCTAATTAGCATTGACTTGTGCCTTTCGTCTTATCCCTACATTTCGAGACCAGCAGCTGTGCCAGCTCGCCTTGTAAAGCCCCCCAAAGTCCTTTATGCAGAAGTTGCCAGGAATTAACCCAGTACAGACTGAAGACAGTCCACTTCAGCCAGAGTAAAAAAAACCCCAGTCGCAGACGCGCAGGCTTGCACCAACGGCCTCACGTGCTGGAGCCTTCTCCAGAGCGCGCCTGCGCCCTCCCGGGAAAGGCTCCGTGGGAAGACTTGCCTCCAGCCCTCAGAAAGTCCCATTTCCATGTATGCAAACAGGCAGAGCAGCTGAAAGGTTATCTGCGCAAGGGAAACCTACAGGAATACCCAACACAGTGGGACAAAGCGTGCAAATCCACCCAGCCGAGCCTGGTAACTCATGCTGGTTTATCACAAACATACAGGAAGGGGGTGGGAAAAAGAAAAATCCCACAACATCAACACCTTTCCCCTCTCTATCCTTGAAGTTTCCTTTCAGGAGAGCCCAGAAGACCAACATGCTTTATAAGCAAAGGTGCAAAAGAGTGAGTCTAAGGGCTATCATTTTGTCTAGCTTTCTCCCTAAGTGAGATACAGTAAATCTTCCTTGTGTCCTGTCCATGGCATGTTGAATCTGACATGCTGCTCAAAAATCCATTCAGTAACGCAGAAAAGGGGGGGGAACTTCTTTTATTCCCCTTTTCAAACAGCCACCATGGACATCAGCAGCTGCTCCTCATGCCCACAGGCTGCCACAAACAGCAAGTCACTGATGTGACTTCTTGTGCTAGGTTTTCCTTCCCTGAAAAGCAGCAACACTCGCTGCTTATTGCAAGGGAAGAAAAATACATGCACATGTTTAGCTGGGCCATAGAAGAGAAGCAGCACTGGCCAGGGACGGTCCTGAGCACCCATGTCCCGGCTTGGCCCAGGCCCTCCCTCACTGCCCGGTGCCTGCAGGCCCACAGCACCGGAGGTGTCAAACCTGGCCCGGCTGCCCACACCAAATTCACTTTAAAACGTCGTTTAAAAATCCTGATAAAGCACTGGAAAGCTATTTCCTCCCTAGAACTGGTTTCACTAGTGTCACCCCTGCATAGGCAAGGGATACAGCCTGCTAATTAGACCATCATCTACTGGAACGAGCGCAATGCCAGGCCGCCCAGCGCAGGCGATGCCGGTGAAGGAGAGCGGAGCGCAGGGGCATTTCCCCAGCACACCAGCAGCACAGAGCCAGCTCCCGCCGCTGCTGTCAGAAGTGGAGGGAAATAAATTGAGAAGGAAACTTAGCTACAGCACAAATTTACGTTTCTGTCAAAGAAGAGTGGCTGACAGCTATTTTTGGAAACTGGTCTCCATCATATTAATTCAACGTCCAGCTGAAGTTGTCTCATTTGCAGCAAATCTAGCTGGTAAATATTAACCTTGGGCTTTGTTGAAATTCTCCTTGCAGATGTTACAAGGGATTGGATGGAAAAGATGAAGCAGAAAGAGACAACTTTGTAGCAAATGTCAGGCAGATCCTCCACATCACGGTTGTATTTACACAAAAACTATTGCAATACGCCACAAAGTAAATGGCATGAAGGGCCCACAGCTCATGCCTGGTAAACTTAAGGGTAAAAAGACATCAGTGCTGAGAAGCCTACCAAAAACAAAATAGGGATGGACAGGTGATCATCCACAGTGCAACAGGACTTCTCACTTGCCTGCCATGCATCTGCTGGAAATAGGTTTTAAGATCAGAGTAAGTGCAGACCAGCATCTGGCTATAAATATATGTAAGACAAGAAAAGCAGTCTAAATGTATTTACAGCGACAGAATCTCTCCTCTTATTTGAGAATAGATGTTAAACAGATGCTAAAGCTGCTCGGTTCCACCCTAGAGATGGCTGCATTTCAACTGTCAGTGAAGTGATTCATCAGAAACGTGCAAACCCATGGAAGCCTGTCAGGTATGCTGGGGTTTCTTCAGAGAAGTGGTGCGATATAGAAAGATGGACAGTAAAAAGGCTCGACTTTCTCGCAGCAGTAATTAGCGGTGCCGTAAATCCTGTTAGCCTTTTTTCATCTTTCCTAATTTCAGTGTGAGGATACAAATGTTCTCTCAGCGGCAGGATGATTTCAGCACTTAAATCACGGTTACAAGGATACCAGCTTTATGATTTAGTTCAAACAGCTTCACCAGTTCAGTGGGAAGTCAAGCTTGTTCTTCCTGCAGAGAAGCCCGCACCTCCCACACCTCGCGGCTGCTCTGCGGCTGCCACCCGCGCTGCCGACCGGGCGCAGCCCTGCCCGCTGCCGCCCGCAAGCACCGATCCCAGCCCCTCCACCACGCCAAGGGCGCCAGCAGCAGCGAAGCCCCCCACCACCCCCAGCCAGCTGGGCTGGGGTCAGACCGGCCGAGGGCCTCAAACAGCCCCTCTGCCTGGCGAGTGCGGCCCCGGGGCACTGGCCTGCCCCTGCAGAGGACACTGTCTTGTGCCCTGGCTCCAGAGCACGACGACGGAGGGCAGTGCCCAGCCGCAAGATGGCCTGGGGAAACTTCTTCGCTTCTGCCGTCCGATTTCCTTTTGATTTAGACCCATGAAGCTGCTCCACGCACTTGGCCCTAAGCACCACCCTGGATCCATCCCAGACCCGGCCGGCAGCCAGGCCCCACAGGGTCACTGCATACACAGCCACTCCAGCAATTGGCAGGGTGAACGGGAGACTGATTTCAGACACCAGCACGTCCCACGCTGCAGGTGCAGCCAGAAAGGCCTCAGAGAAGATGGAAGGATAAGGGAGAGCCAGGAGCTGCGAAGCAGCACCCAAGACAACCTGGAGAACCACCAGCCACCCCGGCACAGGATGGTGGGGGGTCGGCCCCCAGGCTGTCCCTGCTCCCCAAAGCGGTCCTTGAACAAACTCAGGGTCCAGCCTCTCATGGCCACAAGAGCTGTGACAGAGACTGTGGCCAAGAAGTTTCACAGACAAGGAGGATCCAGCAGACTCACACCCGCTGAACCCTCCAAAGGCACCGCCGTGGAACCACAGTGGTGGAGCCAGATTTGCTGTGCCATCACCTGGCTGTTTTAACATCCCCAAACTCCCACTGTATTTACCTGCCTCCAGCTCAAGGGCTTTTGTCCTCGTCGAAGAATTTCCGCAGCCCTGGATGCTTTCATCAGAAATCTTTTAAAGTTATTCACTTAGTGCTATGCTAATGCAGGGCTCTAAAAAAACCCAAAAACTTTCAACCCTTAAAAAATTATTTTCTGATATTTGACCAGACGTCAGACGCTGTTCCACAGAGAGTGACTAATGACCTGCTTTCTGTGAGAGAGGGAGAAAAACTTAATTATGTCCATTAAAATTACTTCAAATATTTTTCCTTAGAGAATATGAATTATTTAAACTCAACACAGAGAAACCTGAAACATTAGCAAAAGCCTTCTGGGACTCGCTATGTAAATTCCCACTCCAAGCAGATGGGGAAAGTATGGTGAGCTGCCACGCAGCCACAGAAGCAATGAACAGCACTGAGATTTCAATTCGATAAGTTTTAATAAGGTCTTCTTAAGGAGGGCACCAAGCAAATAGCCACTACCTGGAGCGCTGGGAAAGGCGTCCCACATGCTGGAGGAAGGCGGCACAGTGGGCACAATTTAAATCTGAAAAGCCTCAAGGTAGCTCCTGAAGGACAGACCTGATTCCTCAGGAAAAGCTCACTCTCCTACCGTACCACATGCCTTAAGCACAGGGGAACTGTACCTGTTTGGGACTTATTCAGCTAATTTCCTCTCAATCCATCTTCTACCAGGTGAAGAGGTAGAAGTCCAAGGTATCACCTGGACACCAGGCATGGGCAGTGAAGGGTGTTTTCAGGCGTATCTTACTGAAGAAAACATCTCCTCTCACACATCCCAGCTGGTGGTCTGACCCCTCCTCTGCCCCAGAGGAGCCTTGCTAACAGGGCAGCGATGTACACTGCCAGTTAATAATTGATAGCCAATTACACCTTTCAGAGAAGAAAAGCCCTTGGGTGCTGATGGACAGAGGAACAGCCGTTCCTGGGGTAGGAGATGCACACCCGCTGCCCCACACCGCACGCAGAGCGGCCTCCGCTTGCCAGGGACCACTGCTGGCTCGTGCTGGCACCTGACTCGGTGCAGAGGCAGTTGAGACCATGCTGAGCTGCGACTAGGTCCTGACCATGGCCCGAAGCAGGAAGGTGCCCAGGAGGAGGCATTAGCCTGGCACCTCCCTCCTTTCAGAGGCTCACACACTCCGAGAGGAGGAGCACGGCAGCCCGTATCCCGCACTCTCAGGGCTGATCCCATGCCTGGGTCTCGCCTGCCTTTGAAAGAGAGATCGAAGTGGTCACAGCACCAGGTTCATTAGAGGGATACCCGTTAAGGTAGAGGTTATATCCATTTTTACAGCTGTCATTAAATGTAACCTTGCGAGCTGTAAAGTCATTGAATTATTAAGTTGTGTCTAAAGCATGACAATGGGGATATTAATGTTCTAGAGTAATTTTATAGTTACAGATAAAGCTGTGGGAAATGCCTGACGGTGTTCAGAGCTTTGGCACTTCTGCCCAGCCAACACCGTGCTGCAGGGCAGCTACCGGCAACGCACCCCATTTACCCAGTTGCCACCCTTCAAATTAAGGTCTGGCTGTTAACTGGGGAGCTGCAATCAACTAGAATAATCATATTGCTGACAAAAGGCAATTCCACTTGTCTGAGCTGTGCTCAGGCACCAGGCGGACTGGGGCAGTCTGACAGCAACATGGACTGAGACAGACAAAAACTGCCAGAGGACACCGACGGCCACTTTTACCTCTGCATCCCCCATCCTTCTCCTCGAAGCCAGGACCACACGTGCACTTCCCTATGGGGACCAGCCACTCGCCCTCCGCGCTGCAGTGCATCCTGGGGGGATTATCCACGTCCACTTCGGCGTGAGTGACACAAGTGCCCTTAACTTCCACCAAAGTCGCAAAGGCCGTCTCCGCCACCGTGTCTGGAAACACGGCCAGGTTCTGCATGGTGGCAAGGCACTTCTTGTAATAGACCCGCACAGAGACCAGCGCCACGCAGGCACCCACGTCCTGGAAGCCCAGGTGGAAGCCTCTCTTGCTCAGGTGCCCAATCTCCCTCAGCTCGGTGTTCAGCTTCATCTTACGCTCGCCTAGGTCCCCCTGTGTGAAGCTCTCATCAGCAGCAATGGTGTCGATCTTGGTGTGCTTGCTCTCATGGACGCTACGGCCCAGGTCGGAGTCAGACTCGACGTAGTACAGATTGAAAGTCTCCTTGCAGGTGCCCATCACGCCAGGGATGCTGTTGCAGTCCCGCAGGGTGAACTTCAGCTCGATGAAGATCCTCTGGCCGTCGCGCCTGGCAATCCAGCCCGTCTGCAGCCAGTTGTTCTGGTTTGGCTCCATGACATTGCAGACCTGGTACGTGCGTATCGGCTTGTAATTCTCATCCACGCCACTGATTTCTTCCCACTGGGGAAAGAACACGAAAGAGCTGTAACAGCTCAAGAGCTGTCGTGAGCAAGAACCAGCCGCCCCGGCAGAAACACGCCGATCAGTATAAATATCACCACCACAAGCCTCTCCACCTACAGGCCATTATATCATAGGCACTAAAAGTCCTTAGCCCACCAAACCACAAGCTGTAGTAACACAGCAGTGCTGCTGGACCACTTAACACCTGAGCTCTTTGCAGAGGTGCAAACACGGAGACACAACCAGAAAGAGGGCACTGACATCAGATCTTCTAAAACAAAGTCTAATATGAAACTGGACACATCATCTGCTGAGAAGCCAGAGCCTTTATCTCCCACATGCCCCTCAGATTTTCTGTCCCTGGGAAGGTCCATCTGCACAACATTACCACACAGCCTAATGCCAGATGGCGTTGGGCTACCCAGAGAAGTCAGAGATGGCCAAGGAGATGTGACACCAGTCACACCATCACACAAGGACAAATATCTTCATGAACAGCAAGCAGCAGCTTCTCTGTCAGGAGAAGTTTTAGCCAGAACAGGACAAATCCTCTGGCTGCAAGTGCAATGGTATTTCCCCAAAGTTACCAGCAGAGATTCTGATTAGTGAAATGATGATTCAACCCTCACAGCCTTAAGGATGACCTGGCAACTTCCCACAGCAATTCTTTCTGGGGGTAAATTTATGCAAGATTGCCAAATGTACCCAAAACAGAGTTTCTTCTGTGGACTAACAGCTGGGCAATGCAGATGACTCCAGGATCTATCCACTATTCCCTCTGAGCAGTTTGTTTCCATTCTGGAAAATGAACCCAAAGCAGCAAGGAACACAACTCTCAGTTTCCCAACACACTCTCCTGAAAGCAGCTATAGACTGACCCTGGCAGCGAAGCAAGGACCTGATAAAACAAACCCTATGTGATGCAGAGCTCCTGATGATCCCACCCCAGCCACAGCCCTCTTCCAAGAGCTGAATTGATCCCCAGGAGCTCACGCTGGCGTGCAAACTACAATACAAAGCCTTAACTGGCTGGTGTTTATTTGCTTATTACAGGAGTGTAAAATTCGTTTTAAGGAGCTGTTCCACATTGTTTGTACCACTCACATAACCACTACTTCACTTCTCGCTCTGCTCCCCGGAGTGCCCAGCACCGACGAACACGACAGCTTGTGCCGAGCTGCCCACCTGCCACAGCTCAAGGAGAGCCTGTGGCTGCCAGCCCCCTCCACCAGCCCCACGTGCAGACTTCAAATACTGCTGACCACCAAAAGGCAAACCCTCTCTAGCAGCGCAGAGGGACAGCCCCACCTCCACACTTACCCCGTTTGACGGGTGGGAGGTCCAGCCCAGCTCCGCTTGCGATTCCTTTGAGTCCAGCAGGACAACTGCAGGGAAGACAATGCATTAGAAAGCAAACTCACGAAGGCAGAGAACACCAGTAAATATCCACCCGGCCCGCCCGTTGGGAAGCTCAGTGCTGTGCACCCCTTCCCGGACACCCGCCTGCCTGAGCGGTGGGTCAGCTCCCAGAGTGCGAGGAGCAGCTCCCGCCCCAGCTCCACCCGCCATCGTGTCATCGCATGAGCACCAAGCACTGCACCCAGCAGGACTCACGCTGCAAAGCTCTAGGCTGCACATCCAGACCAGACCTCGCAGTTACGCAATTAGCACCCTAACCTAACGAGGATGACGTCCCAGGGAAGGCTGCAGTCCTTTCCAAGGCACTCTGCAGGACAATCCCTCCGACACCACCAGCCCACGCTGCAACTGTACCATGTCCATAGCATGCATATCTCCTGGAACTGAAAGGTACTGGCAGCTGCTTTGAAACACAAATTTCCTTGAAAAGACTACATCCAGTTTCCACAAAACGGCTAATTCTCTGTTTGACAGGAAGAGGTATTTCCCCCAAATTCACAGTTTCACGATCTTTCCACAGCTAGCAAACAGAAGCAATCCCTGACTGGCAAGCTGAGTCTCGCCTCAGATTCAAGACCCCCGATAACGCCCGTGTGCGGAGGGCGCATCCCTGGCCGGTCCTTTCACACGCGAGCGCTCCGGCACACTCTTCCCGGCGCTGAGGCAGGACAGGTCTGTCCATGGCAGCGCAGCCTCTGCGCACACAGACCTTCGGGGCTTGCACCGTCTCCCCGCGTCACGGCCCCGGTGAGGCCGCGGGGCGCACCCTGCAGTGGGGGTCAGCGCTGTCCCCAGAAGCGCTGCAGCCCGGCCACGCTCCGGCCGCTCTGCTCTCGCGTGCCCCGGTACCGGCAGCGCTGCGCGGGCAGCGGGCGCCGCCGGAGCTCGTTCCTCCCAGCGCCTCTGGCGATCGCGGC